TCTACAGCAATGAATAAAAAATGCTTTCGTTGGATAAATAGGGCAAGGATCAAGGAGTGCAAGCTAATATTTCAAAATATTATTCTGCCGTCGGGGGAAGTGTGTTTTATATCAGAGTGGCAGAGTTACAGGTGAGGGACTGGAGCACTGCCACATTCACTCCTGCCAGCCCTCTTGGCTTTTCAGATGGCAGAAGAGGACTAAGACTTGGGGAGAGACGTGGGCCAACTGTGGCTGAAGAGGGTCTGAAGAGCCCCTTGGCCGTCTTATTGGGCTATTACAGTAATCTGGCTGAAATTCGACCCAGTTCTTTGGTGAAAGCACTGACCCTTTTGTTTGTTTTTAAGAGATATTTTTGCTATAGGGCATGTGCACTCACCAGAGAGACAGAAGGTGAGAAATCAAGAAATCACCGCCTGGGGGGAAGGCCACACTGTGATCCTCTTGCCTCCATTCTCCTCTTGGGATTTTGGGCATACACACACTCATGCCCGGCATGAGTTTCAAGCCACTGGTTCCAGGACTCGAACCACAGTCAACTACGTGGGCGTCCAGTACTGGTCCCATATAAGCTTATTTTTAAGATCCAGATAAAAGTGGAAATATGTGAATTTTATTGCACTAATTTATATGAGCTGATTTCTGGGTCCTGGTAGAAAGATAAGAACGTAATGGGTGATGACTAAAAAAATGAGCTGATTTCTGGGTCCTGGTAGAAAGATGAAGAATGTAATGGGTGATGACTAAAGAGTAGAAGTCCCCATGTGCAAGTTTGAATGTCCTTAATTAACTGTAATTCTGTATTTGCTAATTGCCTTCTTTATGTCTCATTAAAATTGTTTTAGAATTTCTTTCTTGGGAGTGAGAGACAGAAAGAGGAGACAGAGATAAGCACTTTCATCCAGGTCTCACTTCCCAAGCAGGGACACTCATGCCTGGCATGTAAGGTGGGCCAGGGAGCTGAACCCATGACATTCCGTATAGATCCCGCTGATTGTCACGCTGCCGTTAAGTTGACCCTTTGTGTCCTACTTTATAATATGGAAATGGGTTGGGTTTTAATATTCCAGTTTTATTTGGAATCAAATCCATTTCAATTCTATAAGATGAGACATCCATAAATGGAATTATAATGTGAGTTTATTTTGGCACAGAGAATTCCAAAACCCATGCATAGTTTGTGCATAGTACACATTTCCCACGAACTTTCTGAAGACCTTTCATGCATATCGGATGAGTTTGTGATATAGGAAGATAAACATCTACATCCTGAAAGTCTAATTCAGGTTCTAGGGTGTATCTTAGGGTCACGAGAACTCCAATGGAGGGAAGTATTGGGGAGATGAATGGGATGCTGTCTAGCAAATACACATTCCTTAATTGAGTACCTTCCTTAAAGGTGATCATGCTCACTGTGTGTGTGTGTGTGTGTGTGTGTGTGTGTGTGTGTGTGTTGGCCAAATGTCCTTATCTATTAATCAAATATTTAACTAGTGACCACCACCCCGGCTGATACACAGCAATGACCAACCTTCAAAGGGCTTGTCCAGGATTTCCAGAAATCAAGTCAGACGAACCCAGGCCAACTCCTCCCCCCACCTCAGTTTCATCTAGACTCCGGAGGGAATTACCCTGCACTGTTGAATCTGATAATACTTCACCTATAAAGCCGCCCAGCAAGGGCTCTGGTCTTACTGCCTCAGAGACCAAGCGCCCACATGGATTTATAGGAAATCCATAAAGGAATCTCTGGCCCCAGAGGCGCTGTGTCTGTGTTAGATGGCACTTTTTATTTAAGCAGGTCGGTGCAAGAGATATTACTTAGGCATTTAAACGAGAGCTTGAAAGTGTGGGGGTGGGGAGGGAGAACACTTGACCTCTTCCAATAAAATTGAGCTGCTCTTTAGGTTATAAAGTTTTGACAGAGAGAGACAGGGAGAATGAGGACGTATCCTTATTTGGTAATGAGTACCCGTGAAAAGGACAGTATATTACATTCCATCCTCCTGCTTCCCGTTCCTCTTCTAAGGGTTTGTGAGCAGAAGGCTGCGAGTCCTCTAGAGTTAAGAGGCTGGAGACAGGTGGTGTGGATGGCATTTTAAGGGGTGCTCAGTGTGTCTCGTCTGAGTGGTAAAGCTTAATTAGCTTTCATTAAATGCAAAACATCCTGAGCCGTGTGTCTGGCACCGTGCTTCATGCAGGAGTGGTCAAAAGAAGTAAGGGCCATTGAAGCTCAGAGATGGGAAGGAAGTGAGAGTCTGGTTTCCTGCCTGCTGAGCCTTTCCCACCGGGGACCCTTCTCACTACTCCTTCCCCCACCCATTCCTCAGATCGACTGGGTTCATCAGATTCATTAATGGGATGTTCTTTCCACATCCAAGGGGCTAATTCTGTCCCTCAGGGTTTCTGATCAGCACAGAGTAAACGGCTTCCACGCGGAAGGAGCCCCTCCCTGAAGAAAGTCCCGTTCGTGTGTCTGTCACCTAACCAGAACAGCCGGGGAGCGTGGCTTCTGCCCACTCGGTGGCGTCACACACCGTTAACGGGCCACGAGAGTGTCGCTAGGAGCAAGTCTGGCCCTTATTCCGGAGAGGCCATGGGCAAGGTGAAAAGGGCGCTAGACGTAGACTCCAGAGTCCTGAGTTGGAATCTGGACTCAGGTAGTCTGTGGGCCTCTGCTTCCTCACCTGTTGAGTCGAGAGGATGGTCATCGCAGATACTGCTCTGAGTGGTTCTGACGAGGCAGACGAGGTGTGGTGTGTGCCGGCTTTTGCAACATAGAACAGTCTCTTCTCTGGGAAACAAGTTCCGAGTGGAATCGGTTGAGTCCTAGCCTCCCCTAAGCAGAGCGTGACTGCTCATGACGACAGGGTCGTTAGGGGTGGGGGAATTAAGGTACAGTGGACTCCTTTGGGAGGGCCTAGTCCTTACAAGGGTGTCCTTGTAAGAAGAGGAAATTCGGACACAGGAATACAGAGGACATGCAGGGAGAAGATGGCGAAGGCCACCTGATCTTACACTGACGGTCCCGGCCTTTGGTGTCATGTGTCATGCTGTAAACCAGGAATAGGGGTGGGTTGTGCCCAAGGAACCAATCCAGGTTTTGTTCATTTTAGGTTTTTGCCATAGGGAGTGTGCACTTGCTGGAGGGAGACAGACAGAGACAGGGAAAACGAGAAGTCACCCCCAGGCGAGGTGGCCATGCTCCAGTGCCTTCTCCTCCGTTCTCCTCTTGGGATTTTGGACATACATGTACATGTACCCGGCGTAATTTTCAAACTGCTGTGTCGGGGCCCAAACCTCACTGGACAATATGGGAGTCCAGTGCTTTAACTTACGCCACCTGCTAGTCCCCAGTCCTGATGTTTTAAATATAGTTTTTTTTTTTTGGAGAGATTTTCACTGTAGGGCGCTTGCGCTCGCCAGACAGACAGAGACAGACAAAGAGACAGAAAGCGAGAAATCACCCCCCAGGGGGGATGGTCACGCCGCAATCCCTTCTCCTCCATTCTCCTCTCGGGATCTTGGGCACGCACGCACACGCGCCCTGCGTGAGTTTTAAGCCACCGGGTCCGGGACACGAACCGCGGTCGACTACGTGGGAATCCAGCGACATAGCCATTATGCTAACTGCTGGTTCCCTTAAATATAGTTTTAAAACGTGTAACTTCACTCTCAGAGAAGTTACTGTTAGTTTCATTTTTCAGGTGAGACAACTTAAGGGCAAGAAGGTGAGAGCTAGTCAGTGGAGAAGCTGATTTTCCACTGTTATTTCTGAAACTAAATCCTGTCTTTCCACTCTTCCAGGGTGGCTTCCCTCTTCGTTCTAGCTTTGAGATGAGGTTGTGCAGTCCATGAAGGAATGCCCACAGCGGGAGAGGCACAGAGGCCGTCCGGAGGTCTGTGGGCCTGGACTGTTGGGTCATCTGGGGAGTCATGACGTAGTTTTTTCTTTTTTTTTCTGTTTTTCTATGCAAATATGAGTCGTGAGTTTTCTGATGACCCAATAGTTTCGACCAACTTCACATCAGCAGCTTCTGGGCTGGAGAGAAAGAACTTAGCCTGGGCGTGAGCTTGAGCCCGCCCCCCAGCATGGCCTCGCCCCAAAGCCCGTGCCGGGTGGACAGCCCGTCACAATGTCAGGAAGGCCGCACTTGGTGATTCTTGCAGAGGCAGAGGAGCCGTGGCTGCCTGTCCCTGCCAACGTGGGAGACGGCGTCCGTCCTTGGTTTTCCATCACGTTGTCTCCCAAAGTGGCTCCCCGTGCTTCATCCCTGTCCTCCCAGGGGTGTCAGTCCTCTTGCTCATGGAGTTGGGCCTGGTGTTCTTACCCCCTCTCCCTACTCCGCCTGGGCTCTCTCATCCCGTTTTTATCTGTGAAGCTGCAGGCTTTGACCACTCCTCATTCTTGGCGCCGTCTCATAGAATTGCCATGACGTCTGCCCGGGCCCCAGTCACGTTCCCCTGCCGTTTGACATTCTCCCTGGCAGAGATTAATGCAGAGGGCCAGCAGGTGGCGTGGTGGTGAAGGTGCTGGACCTTGTCCAAGTCCTGGAACTGGCAGCTGGCTTACTTCTTTCCCTTCTCGCTCTCTGCCTCGCTCTGGTGGGTGCATGTGTCCTAAAGCAAATTACAAAATATTAATAATAATACAATTAAATAATTATTATGTTTTTTAAGTTTAAGCGGCTTTGTCCATATAAATGGTCTCATTGAAACTGACCCTTCTGGGCATGATCTGTTCTCCAGACACACCCAGAGCGTCCACACCTGTGCTGTACCCGCCTACCTGTGGACACCAGCTTCGCCCATCGGGGTGCCTTCTCCTCTCCCATTATCTGGACTAACGTCTCGGTGCTCACGGCTGTCCTGCCGGTGGCTCTCCTAAAGAATGAGCATTGTGCTTCCCTTACTTGAGCACAAGGAATAAAAATGCAGTGGTGAATTTCTCAGCTCGTGCCTGTGTTTAGTGACCATAAAAACCTCATCTTCTTTGGTAGGTCTTGGAATTTCAACATACACTAAACCCGATGAGAAGCTAACCGTGGCCAGGAGAGTGCTGTGAGTTCGTTCTCCGATGTCCACGCCGCTCCAGGACTCGGGTGTACTTCCTACTCCGCCTCGCTCTTTCCAAGGGCCCCTTCTCGAAGCTTACAGATCAACTGTGGCATCTCAGACTTTGGCAGGCCAAGGTTGTGCCTGCTTCTCCTAACGTCGAATGCGTGGTTAGGGTTCGGTAAGTATTTGTTTTGGGTAACAGTAGACCGAAGTAAACAAGGCTCAGACAATTCACTGCCAAAAGCTACATGGTTAACAAGGCTCTGAGAGAGGGTCAACTCACTGAGCGGAAGGGGCAAGAGCTTACAGCCCACACAGTTTCACGGTGGCGAAACGCGGAGACCCGGCTGCGTTTACACCAGCGCGAAGAGCAGAGCAGGTTACTGTTGCACTGTTATGGCAACCCCAGCAGAAAGAGAACTGTGCCCCCATGTCGAGGGCGTGCCCACGTGTCCATGTGGAGGCATGCCCACGTGTTGCGGGCACACACTTCTCCATAAGACGACACTCTGGAATCCGTAGGCCCGTCTGCTGGTGTTTCAGAAATAAGGACGGGGTGGTTTTCGTTCTGTGTAGGAAGGCCCTCTCCCCCGGCCTCACTCCCTTTCGCTTACCCTCCTTGCAATCGGGGAAGGAGGGCTCGCGGCAGAAGGCATGCATGGCGTAGACTCTGGAGGACATGTCTCAGAAGCCTGAGTTTGTCTGGGCGCTGGCCAGGTGTGTGCAGCCCTCGTCGCTGCGCCTCCTCGGCGTCGATCCGGAAACCTGACTTGGTCTCGCTGCCTGTACCTGCCTTGAGTCTGTCCTCTAATCTTCCCGGCCCGGCCTTCATTCATGTCGTGGGCTTTGCTCATTGTGCCCAGCATCCTCGTGCCTGTCGGGGGCTCTCGGTTGCCGGCAGAAACGTGACAACTTCCGGCGTCACTTGGGCTTCCTCTCCTTGCTTGGTACCGACACTTCCTGCTCTGCGTCTTCGGGAATCGTCAGTAACGTGTGCCCACTCCCCTGCTTCTCCATGACGGCTGCTCAGACCTTCGCTGGGATGTTCAAACAGACTTTCCCACTGCTGTTCCTCAGCCTGATCTAGCAGTGGAGAGAAAGGAGAAGCTGCATTTTTTAAATCTATTGAGGTCCCGTATGTAGCCCCGGATGTTAGAGATCAGAGACTCCGAATGAGATAAACCCCATGTTTGGTCATGCTTTTCCTAGGAAAATGTCCTGCTGCTTCGCAAAGAGCAGCTGAGAAGCTGACAAACTTCACAGAGCCCTGGCAGGCGTGCAGGGCTGAGGCCGCTAACACCGAGACTCGGTTCCAGTGTGGAGGGCCCCAGGAAGGACTCTAAGTTTTTCTGTGGGACCTCAGAAAGTTGCACACTCGGAAGGAAAATGGAAAGAAAATAGAACCACATCGAGAAACATTTGCACGCAGATTCCAATCAGCAGCATACACGATCACATGAAAGTACTTTGCTCCTAACGTAACTATCAGAGGCAAAATTAAACCCAGATCTGGAAAACTATCATCAAAGCCTGAAATTATCTCTCCTTTTTTTTTATGTACAATGCCTGGGATGTAATAAAAAAATAGGAATTTATCAGAGGATAAAACAAAATGAACAAAAATGAGAAAGAAAAATACTCCTACGAGTCACCCGCAAATTGCAGTTATCAGATGAAAACTTTAAAATCGTTCACATGTTCAAGAAATCATTTGCTAAAGGAAGGGTAAAAGCAAAGAACTAAAACATATGCATTAACTGAAATAAAGATACAGACATGGGGGGCTTAACGGCAGATCAGACACAGTTTAAGAAATGATGAAATACAGGGGTTTTTCTGAAAGTAAGTCAGAGAACATATGAAAACTCAAAAAGAATAAAAATATGGAAAGGAAGAAATACAAGGGAAACAATGATCAAATTAATATACAGGTAGTAAAGTCTTGGAAGGGGAAGAGAAAGAAATGGAAAAAAAAAAAGTTGAAAGTACATGTGAGAGTTACCAATGCAGAAAAAAATGAAGGAATTCAAATTGAGGCACTCCGTAATAAAGCACTCAAAACTAAGGAGACCTTCCAAGTATCCAGAGGGACTTCTGTTTGCAGCCACAAACAAGAATAGTGTAGCCCGTTAACATCTGTGCCAAGTGCAAATGAGATCTAGACAAAATGCATTAGAAACCGTTGGAAGCCATTGACGTGCAGTGGAAGCCGCAGTGACCGGGAGGAGGGACAACCGTCCAGGTGAGTCATAGTCACACTGACGCTCCTCCTCAGGGCGCTTGCCACGTGGATGCCTTGGGGGAGGGGTGACTGAACAGAAAGCCGTAGTCTCATTGGCTGGAGAAGACAGAGGTTGGAATCTGGGACTGCCAGAATTGCCGGGGTGTCGAGGTCAAAACCCCTGCTCTTCCCTGCTGGGCTACGTTTTTCTTTCTCCATTTCTCTTTTTTTCATGTAATGCAGAAATTTCATGAAGATCACCATTCACAGGCCACATGCGCTTGCTTGGGAGAGACAGAGAGAGGGGAAAGTAAGAAATCAGCTCCCAAGGGAGAATGGCCACCCTGCAATCCCTTCTCCATTCTCCTCGCAAGATTTTGGGCACACACGCACATGAGCCGGTCATGTTTCAAGCCACTGGGTCTGGAGCTTGAAGCACAGTTGGCCACGTGGGTCCAGAGCCTTAAGTACCATGGCCACCACTGGCCTCCACATCCACTTCCTATGGCTATTGAAGGGGTGGAGATCTACCACCTTATGAAATAATTCATTCTAATTTAGGCTAACCTGAATTACTAGAAAAAAATTTAATAGATCTTTAATACATTTATCCTACATTTTTTTTCCATTTGGCTCCAATTTTTTCCTTACTGACCCGAAAGTATAGAAAATAATCCTTCAAATAATAGAATTTACTTCTAAATTTTATTTCTTCCAACCTAAAAATAAATCATTGCATCAACAATTCCTTATATGGGTTTCAGCTTTTCATCATTTTGGTCACTGCTCTTGAACTGCCAAACGCTTTTTAAGTGGAACAAGGATTGGCTACAATGAAACACATGTGAACATTAAGCTAAATGTGCAAACACTAGTAGTTTCTATCCAACCCATACACCTCAGAACGCATGGCTCAGTTCTGGTTACTTCCGGAAATCGACCTGCCACTTTGTCTGGTCTGAATTGTTATACTGAGGAATTCACTCTGTTCTGTTGAGGAACCGATTCTGTTAACTTTGCAAAGAATCACTGTTGATCTCTATTACTTCTCTGGAACCCAGCGGCAATCTCCTTTACCACCCCAAAGACTGAAAAGGGATTAAAAGTGAATCATGAGTCTCTCTGGCTTGCTCACATGGCACATTCATTATGTAGGTTCAACTCAAGACCAAGACCCCCACGTTTGTTTGACGCTACTATTTGTCCAGTCCCCAAACTGATCTGAACCCTTGACAGAGAACGTTCTTGAGATGCCTCACCCCCGCCCCCCCCCTCCCCAAACTCATGGACCAAGATGGTACTTTATCAGCTCAACCTTTTATTCATGGAACTTTTAAAAGGTCTCATTAAAATCCTAACCTTGGAAACAGATACTAAACACCTCTTAGCATTCTAATGACCATACGTTAGAAAAACTAGTCACTCGTGCTTTTATTTATAGTTTCTTTCTTTCTTCCAGAAGTGGGAGACACAGAGAGGCACCCCCGGCAGAGGACTCATACCATGATCCACCCCCGGTTCCACCGGCTTTAGATCACAGGTACACGCATGCTTGGCATACGCAGGGGCATCTCCGATGTGAGCCCAGGGCCTTCCCATGGGGTCAGCCCTGCAGAGCATCACGTTACCCCGTGCTGCTGTCCAGCTCCCAGTCGTGCCATTAAGGCCTGTTCATTCGTCTTCTCCATGTAACACGCAGGAGGCGTGGCAGCGCCGTGGTACCAGTGCATGGGCTCTCGCACGTGGGCTGGTCAGGTTGAAGTACCGAAATTACTGTCTGTATTTCCCAACATTTTGAAAGATTCTGGTGCAATATTTCTCTCCCTTGCTTATGGATCTGCATAAGGGAAAGCAAGCCCAGAAAATCTAGTTCTGCTTTCCGCCATTTGACCTGGCTGCTTTATTTTGTTGTTTGGTGGTGGGAGCCAATCTTCAACTTGTTCAGAGAATCAGTGTCTACACGACAGGATCACCCGGGAGTCCTGCTCCCGGAGCCTCTAATTCAGGTCTGGGGTAGGGCCCGAGAGTGCGGTTCAAGGTGTCAGGTGGTGCTGATGCCTCTAACTAATCAAGACACCACACGCTCAGGGCAACAGGGTCGATGCCTTTTGTAAAGGACCTACGTAGCAGAGGAACTGGGGCCTCCCCGGCATTCAGCAGTGTGATTCATGTACTCCTGGTTCACGGGCGTGGAGGGTTCTCCCTCGGAGCTAGAGCTGATGCAATATGAAATAAAATAAACCCCAGCAACGGTTAACTCAGCAATGAACGCGGTACCAGGGCTGGAGATGGTTCAGGTTGACATACTTCAGACAGAAGAGTATGTAACTGAAGGGAGTCGTCATTCTTCAGCCTTGTTTTGTTTTGTTTTGTTTTGTTTTTGTTATATGGGTTGTGTGCTTCCAAGAGAGAGACAGAAAGAAAGAGAGAGAGGGAAAGAAAGCAAGCATCCCCAGGGACGGCCATATCACAGTCCCTCCTCCATTCTCTTCTTGGGACTCTGGGTGTGCACACACAGGCCGGCTCAAACCATGCGTTTGCTCATGTGGGATCCAGTGCTTTAACCATGCCACCGTCTGCCCCAGCCTTTTTATAATATACTTAAAAAATGTTGAACCTATCTTTGTATGAAGGTTTATTCATAATCTTTGGAGAAGGGAGAGTCCAGGTTTCAAACAGTCGATAGTGATCATTTTTCTGACTGAAGCAGGCATAGGAACCAGGAAACAGATGTTAACATCTCACTACACGCAAAAGGCCTGGCATAGGGGTGACACCTCATTACCCTCCATTAACAATTTGAAACTTGTATTTGTCATTAAGGAGCTTAAAACCATGCATAATATTGTGGTACCTTAATTCAGAAAAATTATATATTTAAAAGCCATGGATTTTTTTTGACAAATTTTTGAATTTCTTATGTTTGATATTGAATTATTATATAAGCTTTATTTAGTCAGAACTTCTAGTAATCTTTTTCCATCCTCTTATTTTTAATTTCTTATGTGTCATTTCTTTTTCATTAAATACCTATTAATTTTATTTATTGTTATTATTTTTTAAATTTGCTATAGGGCATGTGTGTTCCTCAGAGAGATACAGAAAGAGAGAGAAAGTGAGAAAGCAAGCCACGAGGTCTGGGACTTGAACTGTAGTTGGCCATGTGGGAGTCCAGCGCCTTAGCTGTCATGCCCCCTGCTGGTCCCATTATGTGTCATTTCTTGAAATACAAGAATGACTTTTTTTTTAAATTTGATGTAAAAATCCCTGTCTTTCAATAAGCAAGTTTTGTCCTTTATAGTTAGTGTGATTACTGCTACATTTGATCTTTCTTCTGCCATTTTAAATAATAATCTCTTTTTTAATCTTTTTTTTTTTTTTAGGTTTTTTCTCTAGGGTGCATACACTCATCAGAGAGAGACGGAGTGAAAAAGTGAGACATTACCCCACCCCCAGGGGAAACAGCCATGCCACAGTTCCCTCTCCTCCATTCTCTCAGGTTTGGGTATGCATGCACACGTGCCCAGTGTGTTTTTCAAGCTGCAACATCTGGGATTTGAACCATAATGGAATCTAGCCACTTTAACCACCACACCACCAGCTGGCCCTAGTTTATGTTGTTTTAAACCACTAAATTGTAAATTTCTGTAACAGCAATAGGAAATAAATGCACCACTTCATGAGATTATTATGATGACTCCGAAATTGAATAGATAATGAGAAAGTGCTTTGTAAACTGAAGGATTATAGCAATGTTAATTATTGGGACCAGCAGTTGGCATAATGGCTATGTTGCTGGGCTCCCATGTAGTCAACCGCAGGTCAAGTCCGGCCCGGTGGGTTAAACTACCGCCGGCCCGGTGGCTTAAACTCACGCTGGGTGTGTGTCCGTGTGTGCCCAAGATTCCGAGAGGAGAATGGAGGAGAAAGGATTGTGGCGTGGCCATCTCCCTGGGGGGGGGGAGGTTATTTCTCACTTTCTGTCTGTCTCTGTCTGTCTTTCTGGGGAACTCACATGCCCTATAGCAAAAACCTTTCCAAAAAAAAAAGAAAAGAAATGTTAATTATTATTAATAAAATTAAAGTGAATGAATTCTAAGAACTCCAATGAGATGGACGGGGTCTGTTCCAAACAATATCTAGATTAGCAATGGGCTAGTGAGTCTGCACCATTGTAACCAACTTTAATAGGGTTCCTCCCACCGAGCATTAACAGAGCCATTACAAGCAACCCATCTGAGACCAATCTAAAATGAATTGCTCAGCTTTATTCTAAAACATTCTCTAAACTATAAATTGATAGGAAGCAGTAATTCTCCCCCGGGCAGAGAAACTTCTTAATTTAGAGGTCGCCTTGAGATGGGGTGGCATACAAATAGCCTGAGAATAAAACTGGCCCTCCCAGTGGGCAATGTTTAAGTCCAATAAAAATCTATTAATGTATGTCGTAGCCCCCATAGTGTATTTCTAATGATAAACGAATTATTTTAAAATTTCGTAGCCTATAAATATATACCAATAGAAGAAACATTTCCCTAGCCTATTTTGTTACAACAAAATTGCTGCCTCCTTTCTTCTCTAAACCCTAACCACTGGTCCTTACTACTAATTACTCCTTGGGAGACAATGTAATGACACCATTTACTGGCAACAAAGTATAAAGATAACCCACTTGATACAAAGTATTAACAATGACCCCTTTTAAGCCAGGGAGTTCTTTTGTGGACCTGAAAACTATTTTACATTCAGGAATGGTGACATTGCAGTCAACTGATCTGTTTAAAGTACTTGTACTTAGGATCATGTAGAATAATGACTAATTAGCTGCCTGAAGTCTTCACTGTTCTTCCAGATAACTTGTTGAGTTAAAAAGTTACATTGTGGGGCCACCAAATGGCATGGTGGTTAAGGCACTAGACCCCACACAGTTTACTGTGGTTTGAGCCCCAAACCTTATGACTTGAAAATCACATTGGGCACTCATGCAGGAGTGTCCAAAAGCCCAAGAGGAGAATTAAGGAGAAGGGACTGTGGAAGATATCTCATTTTCCCTCACTCTGTCTCTTTCTGTATCTTTCTAGTGAGCACACACACCATAGGACAAAAAGCTAAAAAATAAAAAAAAATTAAAAATAAAAAATAAAAAGATACTTCTATACTCTCAAAAGTATTAGTTTGTTCTTGGGGTGACTTTCAAAACATACTCATGGTTGACAGTAAAACAGATTACAGATTTGTCTATTTCAGACATAGAGGATGGTAAATCTGTCCAGCTCAACATGGAAAAGCAGACTTAGGAAGGATGTGTCTTGGCCAGGGGGCATTGTGGGTACACCTACACTATCATTTCATTCTGGCCCTTGAATGAGAGCATGTTCTTTTTTGAGTCAATTCCTGCACAAAATTATTTTAGCCCAGGAATTGCATAACAGAACTCTTTGGGGGCGTTTGAAACACTAGGCTTCTGGGGGCTGTAGTTTTCTACAATGGCAGACAAGTTTAAATGAAACCGGATGACACGAAGTTCTGTCCCGGGGAACTGAGGAAAGCCAGGGAAATATGGATTTTATTTGTAAGGAATTCTTTGGGCCCAAACTTAAAATGCTTGGGTGGGGCTTGCATTTCAGCAGCACCATATGAGCAGAAGAGAAAATGAAATTTAGTTTGCTGTGGTTTGGCGTGTCAGTATTTAGTTTCTTGGGCTTTGTCCAACAGAGCTAAATGCGACTTGCCGTTTTTGCGTGTGTAACCCTCATCCTGCAGTGTACCAGCTGCTGTGAGAGGTAGGCTGACACCTGCTGGGTCTAGGCATGTGCCCTCCCCACCTTTTCTCTAGAACACCGGCCCCTCTGACTGTTGGATTGATCCCACTCTACCCTAGGGCCTGGGAAAGTTAGTGCCCAGAAGCAGCATCCCGCTTCCTTTGTGGTGTCACTGCTGTGACCCAGAAGCCTCCGGGATAAGAATGCCTCCTGGCTGCAGGAACCTTGCTGGGTTTATTTAGACACTCTCTCTCCCCAGGTGCTGTGAAGCCCCTAGCAGAGTCTGTTCTGGTCCTGTCACCTTTCTCTCTTTAAGTCCCAGCAGTGCACTGTGGGCTTGGAGGATGTGAGGCCATGATTGGCGGAGAGGGAGGGCGGGGCTTCCTTTCTAATGTCACTGTTCTGTCTACAGGCTGAGCCTGACTCCCTATAGTGAAGACCCCCCAGACCAAAAAAAAAAAGAACTATCATATGACCCAGTAATCCCACTTCAGTATTTACCCAAAGGGTAGGAACACACTCAATTGGAAAGATACTTGCACATCTGTGTTTCTTGCAATATTATTCACTGTGGCTAAAACATGGAACCAACCTAAGCGTCTGGAAACTGACGACTGGGTTGAAAAACTGTGGCGCATATGTACTATGGAATGTCACTCAGCTGTATTAAATAACGAGATCCTATAGTTTGACTGAAAGTTGGGCGAATATGAAAGACTTACTGTTGAGGGAGGATGAGTGCCAGATTTTGAAGGATACACACTGTATATCCCCACACAGTTTGTACTGAATGCACTCTATGGCAGAAATGGAGGGATCTGAAGAAATGACAGTAGAGAGGAGAAGTGTGGATGCCAGAGACGAAGGGAGGGGAGTGGATGCTAGAGAGTGGGTGGTAGAGGGTGGTTGTAAGGTGCAAAGGGAAAAACATCTAACAGACAAAAAACAGTAAAGTTCTCTGTTAAAAAAAATACATATAGTATACATCATGATGGAGAATTTGTGAAATTAATATGAAAACATTTTAATAAAATAATTTTTAAAAGACACACCCCACCCCACCCCACCCCGCCCCACGCGTGTGTCTATGGCTTCCTGGTTTTTGTTTCTTTTTCTGGGGAGCACCACACACTGACCCAGCTAAGTTCAGGCGAAGGTAGCCCTTGCTCATTTTCTGCAGGTATTTATTTCTGTTACAGACACAGTTATCTTTTTGTCCTTTTAATTCTAATTCTTTTTCTTCTTCATTTTCAGTTGAAGAAACGTGGCATTCCCAACTTTCAACACTGCCCGAATAAGACGTCGGTATCTGGCTGGTAGTGAAACTCGAGCCAGGAGTTGATATTCTGTGCAGAGATTCTGGCAGTGACTCCCACACAGTGAGACCTCCGTTTTCTTTCCACTGCCTGCCTTTAAAGCCCAATGTGGTTCTTAGAGCTGATCAAGCCTTTGTTTCACCAGCCTCTCCGTTCTTTTCAACTGCAGTATTTCTGCTCTACTTAGAGAGCTGGACTATGAGGTCAAGGATATGTTTTGTTCTCTGGATTACTGTCTGCTACCAGGAAAGGGGAAAGGGAAAGAAGAATGGTGAATGGGTGGGTCATATCCCTGCCTTCTGTGCCAGCTCAGAATACCCAAGGGAACACCCCTTCCTGCCACTCCTGGACATGGGTTCTAGTTCTGCTTTGGTAGTTGGGTGTGGGGTGCGGGTCCCACCATGCCGCTGTTCCTGTGACTACACTTTGAATAAGAAGGTTCTAAATAAAAATATGCGAATCAGCCTTCAGATTCCAGTTTTAAGTGTGCCATTGATTCTTGTAATTTTTGTTCCAGTAAATTTGCAATCAGTATTGGAATTGCTTAGGGAAATTTGAAATTTGCCATATTTTTAATTTTTTTTTTTAGACTTTAAAGATTTGTTTAGAAGTTGGAAAGATTCTGCTTGATAAAATCATCCATTTACCTAATCAGGCATATAAAGTAGGTTGCTTTAATTTATAAATGCAGTCTCAAATTTTTAAGGAGATGTAATTACGTTTTTAAAGGAGACTGGTTGTTTTGAGGGAAACTTACTTTGTGTAACTTGAGTTGATCAAACACTAATCTGAATTTCCCTCAAAAGCCGTTCTGTTTTACAGAACATTTACTAGATTTATAAATGCAGGAGAAGTTGTGCACATTTAACTTAAAGGCTAGGCAAATTATGGGTGTTTTTTAACTTTAATAAACAAAAAGAAATTAAAAACACAACTCTAAATATGTTTTTTTTTTTATGAAAAAGAGCCCTTGGATAAAATTTAGCTTGACACTATTTGTCATGGCTTGTGTTGGAAACATTCAAAGTCCTCTTGCAATTATGTATAATTATATTTAAAAGAAAAAGGAAAAAAGAAATACAGCCCATTTTAAAAAAATATGCCTCGACACTCACAATTCACCCAACTTTGGCACGTCTATGAAAATGTCTGACTTCTCTGGCCTTCCCTCTTGATCGTTGCTCTGCCTTGGGTGTACATTGGGAGTATTTTTTGCCTTACCCAGGACAACCGGTCCACTCCCAACTAGGTGGGCTTCCTAACTCATTCCTGGGGATTTCTACACAGTGTCCTCCTGCTGGTCTGTCGGGAAGCCTCCCCCAGGCACTGTTCTTCCCTTCTTCTCTTTACTCTTCCTTCCCCACCCTGTTCCTCACAGCTTTCCCCAAGGGCTCCTCGGTCTTTTCAGACTCTTAGATCTTCCTCCTCCCTCCTACCATACCCCACGCAGGGGCCTGTCTCCCTGTGTCCTCTGTCCTTTAGTCCAGGTGCAGCTCCATCTGGGTTTCCACTGTGGAGACACCCAGGAGTTAGGTTCCTGGCGGGTAGAGAATGGGATTCAAAGGGCAAGACATTTACAGGACAGTAAGCATTTGAGTAAATCTTTCAAACCAAAAAATATCCTTTGTTTTCTGTAAACTCAACCTTCTTACACAAATAATTCCTCCCTGTTAGGGTGGCCTAGATGCTGGTCCAGCCTCCTAATAGGGAAGTGTAAGCACAGACGTGGGACACACATGGGTAGGTATGTCATTGTCACATCCTGCCACATCGAGATGGAACACCCCTATCTTGGCATTCCAATAGAGGGCTTGACAGTGTTCCTTTACCTTTAATTTCCACGTCTGTTTCTGTATTTTTCAGCCTGTCCTTTCCTCCCAAGGAGATGGCCTCTTGGCTAACGGATATCTGAAATCTACCAAGACCTTCTCCTTCTCCTCCTCCTTTATGTCACGACGGGAGCCCCATCTCACCACACGCTGGCTGTGTTCGGGACTTGGCGTGCTCCCTGAAGCCTGACAGCTGGATGCTCATTAAGTTGAGGCCCTTCTTCCCATCTCTCTGTCCTTGCTTAACTCTCTGGTCTTCTGTTTGCCTTTCAATTTCCTGCTGGATCCAGACCCTTGTTCTGACTCTCAAAATGATTAGCAGCCTGTTTGGTCCCTCGAGCACCACAGCCTTCCTAAGTCATGGATAATAAACCGTGACTTAGTGAGAAATCCCCACAGTTGGTACCACACGTCCACTTCTAACCAATTAAACTACCAGACTGGAGACATATGATCTCCTTGCATGCTCAGGGCAGAGATCTCTGGTCTTATGTTCCCAGCACCTGGACAGTACCTCCTGGGTGTAAGTATCAGCTGTGATTGAAACCCGAGGTCCCTCAGCTCCTAGGGCTTTATTATTTCAACTGCTGGATGTACCCCGGGGAGCAAGTCCTGCCACCTGGTTGATCCCCGCTCTAGACCTTGCACCCCCTGCTGTCGTTACTCTTCCTGCTGCCCTGCTTGAGCTCCCGGAGTGCAGAGCCCCACGTGAGTTATTGCCTTGCACATCCGGGGTTCAATTATAATTGATGTTCCAAAGCATGTCCCCAAGTCACTGTAGGAGCTAAAGGCGCCTTCTAAATCATCAAGGAAAGAATAAATCATGTTCTGTAAAATTTTATTGTTCCCATATTTTCATCCTTTAAAACCTGGTAATCCACATAGGAAATATGGTTAACTTAATATTAATCAGATTCATCAGCAGCCCGTGCCTGAGTAACTTAACATTTACTGGTGTAGGG